ATTGATTTGGGCTGTGCATCTGATTGATTTGGGCTGGGCATCTGATTTGGGCTGTGCATCTGATTTGGGCTTCGTTTCACCTACTTTTTGTCCTTGTCAGGGAGTATCTATCATTCACTTTTGAGAAGATACCCTACAGATAGACTCAAGTGTTGAAAGCACTTGACTGCATCCAAGTAGAAGATAATGAGCCCTACCCCACCCCTCCCCGAGAGGAGAGTGGTTTCTAAAACAGATGAAGGCTAAGGTAGGCTGGCAGCGTGGCAGAGCAAGTGTGCTGGGCCTGGGTGCCTCCAGGCAGACCTGCTGGACTCTGCACAGAGAGAGGCATGGGTGCACATGGGTGCCAGCAATGTGGCCAGGGAGTAAACATGGGAATGGTGGGAAGCCACACAGCAGGGGACCCTGTTCCCAGGGTGGAAATCACATGGAACCACAAAGACCTCACCTCATCCATGGCCCTCGTGCCCAGCTCTGTCTTGGTGAAATGATGAGCCCCTCATCCCACTGTTTCCAACACCCCCTGACCACCAGCAGAGCTGCCCAGGAACCCAGAGTTCAACGCACCCTCACATGCACAGCCAAGGGAGCGGAGTGGGCTGTCTAGCTGTGTGTGGGACGCTTTAGGAAGCCCACGGCCTTTTAAAAATAAAGCTGGCCTAGAGGAGGGGAGAGGCCACTGCAAGATGTATGGGTTCTCCCAGACGCTGAGGAGAGATGTGCTCTGCCCAGGATGCAAGGAGGTCCCAGGTACCTGGGATACAGGAGTCCCAGCCTAATGCGGGGTGATGACTGCACCTTCCCGACGTGGCCGCCTGGGCTCAGAATGCCTGTCCCTTACCCACAAATCTGCCTGGGCTCAGAATGGCAAGAGCTGAAGCTTCCTTCAGGCTCAGAAGCCCCTTTCCCACCCAACAAGGACTCATCTCCCGGTGCTTGCCTCTGCCGTGGCTACTCACCATGCAGAGGGTAATGGGGTGGGGGGGGAGGGGCAAAGTCCAGCTTGTCCTTCAGGTCCTCCTCATTCTCCCTCTGCCACTGCAGGCCGACGTCCTCCCAGAGGCTAGCAGCCAGCTGCCTAAGGCACAACAGACAGATGACAGCAGCTCAGGGCAGGGCACACGGGGGAGGGCCCTGCAAGTTCCCAAGGATGTCCAGGAGGCCCCAGGGCTGGGCCAGGATTCGGGTTGCCCACAGACCTCACTGTGTGAGAGCGGGAAGCTCCCTGACCCCCGAAAGGGTAGACCAGAAATTCTGTTCATCTTGTGAGCACTTCATTGACAGTACAAAAAGGGGCCATCTGATCTCTGTTCATGTGCTCAGTCAAATGTTAAAACAATGGGAAGTGATATTTACAAAACAGGAGGCCTACTGTATGGCATATCATCTCAGAGCACAGGGACGAGGGGACATGAGCAGGTTTCTGTGACAGATTCCAAGCGAAGGGGAACCACCACTGTTGGGCACTACTGTTTAGGAAAAGCAGTCCTTGATAAACCAGACGCAGAGCTCGTGGCTGCCTGCTGGACGCCTGCCCACGTACCTGACCTCGGGCATCTCATCATCAAGGGTGCTGAGCAGCAGAGGGATGAGCTTGTGGAAGAAGGAGTAGCGGTCACGCAGATGCAGCAGCCAGCCGCCCACCACAGAAGCCACTGCCCGCCGGACCTGTGCACGAGAAGAAGGGGTGAGGATTCGTGTAGGCAGAGGGGATGCGGGGGTTGGTGCCATGGTGCAGCTCTGAGTGCTGCCATGCCGGCGCCGCCCGAGGCAGAGGCGCATGGCTGGGGTCCTGGGAGCCACAAGCCTGGGTCCCGGCCTGGCCTCTGCTCCCCAGGCAGCTCTGCCAGCCCCCACTGGCTGGGCCGGAGAGGAATGCTGCTGTCCCGAAGGCTCATGCAAGTCCCTCATGCCCTGGCCTGGTCCAACTGGCAAGAGCAGCTACCCTAGCTGCTGCATGAGCTGTGCCGCATGTTCAAAGTATTCTGCATGAAAACCTCCTGGCCAGGTTGGGCCCTGTCTCACCCTGGGTGCTTAGTGAGTCATGGCTACAGCAAGTGTGGTGCACAGTGGCTATGCCTCAAACACTTCTGGTCCCAGAGTCCACGGCCTCTGGAGGAAACCAGCAGGGTCCCCAGATGTCTGAAGAGGGGGTACTTGGGCCTCTGCCTACCTTGCCTACACAAGTGGAGGAAACCAGCTTAACATACACCAGGTGCCCCAGCTAAGCTTCTGAAGGGCAGTGCCTGAGACGGGGACCAGCACCAACACTCCTCAAAGAAGGGAAGTGGGACAGGCCAGCAAAAAGCTGGACAGCCACAGACTGTTCCTAGGAGCTCTGGGGTGTGGATGAGCTGCAGAGCCGTCCCCCATGACGCCAGGGGCCAACTCTGTGGTGTCTTCAGTCCCTGGCTGCGCTGTGGGATGCAGGAGCCTCATTCCTCCTGACACTGTGGGTGAAGTGTCTCTGCCCAGCCACGCATCATTAGCAACAGCACTTACAGCTGATCGTAGGTACAGGGAAGTTGAGCAGCAGCTGTGCCCATGGCATGTTCACTAGCTGGGACTCAGAGGAGGGGCTGCTCCGCCCTGGCTCAAACAAGGCACAGAGCCAAGCAGATTGCACCGAGGCCTTGCCCCTGCTGGCCTGGGACCTGGGCCCTGGGCCCTGGGCCCTGGCCTGACCTCTCCAAGGTTCATTCCCACCTGGAATATGAGAAAGAATGACTTACAGGGCTTGTCACTAAGGTCCCACGAGGAGTGGACAAGTTCATGCAAGGAAAGGCCCATCACACCTGATTCCCACTCCCCGTGTGGTATGTACAGGTGACTCTGGGTGTGCAAACAGCAGGGAAGCAGACGAGAGGACACAGGAATGTGTGGTGCATTTGTGAGGGTTATTCACTGACACAAGGTCTTACTAGCAACCAAAAATACAAGTACTCAGATAACAACCAAGAGAAACCCAAATCGACACCATGGCCACTCCACCACCTGGCTAGAGATCCCCACAGAATAAGCTGTCACTGTTGTCTTCATGCACAGTACCTGGCGGGTCTCGAGCAAAGATGCCCCAAGGTTGAATGCAGGTGACAGGCACCACTCACAGCCACACCTGCCACAACGCTAATCTAGGTGAGTGGCAAGCTCCAAGCTCAGCCAGTGCCATGTGCTGAGATGCTGGAAAGCCCGTTGGGCAAAGGGCGTGACTGAGACAAGCCAGACTGCAGCCAGCCCTGCGCCCAAACGTGTACAGGGATGGGGCCCCCTCTGGGAGATGGGCAGGCGTCCAGGGCCACATGGCAAGGCCCGAGCACACTGTCCCAGGCCAGCAGCCGGGGAGCAGCCTGAACTCGCTGGGATTGGCCTCACTGCTTTCTCCTCCCTGACCTCCTGCACATCCTGCACGGGTGCCAGACTCTCTGCAGGGCCCTGCTCAGGACGGCCACCTGTCCGTTGAAACCCACAGATAGGCCTCTTTTGTAGAAAGGAGCTTCAAACGTCTCACCTCATGAGCAAGGACAGCTGCAGGGCCAGGTTTTGGGGCTGCTCCTGAGTCTCACGAACAGCCCCCTTTTCTATTAGTCTCTAGTTAGTATCATAAGAAACCTGCAAATTCCAATTAGCATGAGACAAATTATCCCTTTTTAGTTCAAAAACATCACTGAATACTGAACTGCCATGTAACAGTTTAACAAAGCAGGACATTTTTCAATTTTTTTTTTTTTAAAGCAAAATAAATGGATTAGAAGACTTCTCAAGAAGGGTGGATATAAACAAGCCCAGACTGCAGACTATAGTAAATGCCTAACAACATCGACCATCAGCCACCAGCATCCAGAGCATCCAGGAAAACATGACCTCACCAAGTGAACTACATAAGGCACTGGTGACCAATCCCGGAGTGACAGGGATATGTGACCTTTCAGACAGAAAAATCAAAATAGCTGTTTGAGGAAGCCCAGCACAATCTAAGATAACACAGAGAAGGAATTCAGAATCCTATCAGATAAATTAACAGATATTGAAATAATTAAAAAGAATCAAGCAGAAATTTTGGAGTTGAGAAATGCAACTGGCATACTGAAGAATGCAATGGAGCTTCTTAACAGCAGAACTGATTAAGCAAAAGAATTCGTGAGCAGCTTGAAGACAGGTTATTTGAAAATACACAGAGGAAACAAAAGAAAAAAGAACAGAAAGAATGAAGCACACTTACAGGATCTCAAAAATAGCCTCAAATGGGCAAATCTAAGAGTTCTTGGTCTCTGAGAGCAGGCAGAGAGACAGAGATTGGGGTAGAACATTTATTCAATGGATAATATCAAAGAATTTTCCAAACCTAGAAAAAGATGCCAATACTCAAGTACAAGAGGACTTAACCCAAATAAAAGCAGATTAAACACAAATAAAACTACCTCATGACATGTAACAATCAAACGCCTAAAGATCAAGGATGAAGAAAGGATCCTAAGAGCAGCAAGAGAAAAAACAAATCACATGTGGGGTAACTCCAGCATGCCTGGCAATGACTTCTCAGTGGAGACCTTACCAGCTAGGAGACAGTGGCTCGGCATATTTAAAGTGCTGAAGGAAAGTAAACTTTTACTCTAGAATAGTATATCCAGTGAAAAATCCTTCAAACGTGAAGGAGACAGACTTTCCCAGACAAACAAAAGCTGAGGAATTTCATCAACATCAGATCTGCCCTACAAGAAATGTTAAAGGGAGTCCTTCAATCTGAAAAATAAGGATGCTGAGGAGCAATATGAAAGCATCTAAAGGAATAAAACTTACTGGTAACAGTAAGCACACAGAAAAACACAGAATGTTGTAACACTGTAACTGTTATGTATAAACTACTCACATCTTGAGTAGAAAGGCTAAAAGACGAGCCTATGAAAAACAAGTAACTGGCCAGATGCGGTGGCTCATGCCTGTAATCCCAGCACTTTGGGAGGCCGAGGCGGGCAGATCACCTGAGCTCGGGAGTTCAAGACCAGCCTGGCCAACATGGTGAAAACCCGTCTCTACAAAAAGTACAAAAATCTGGGTGTGGTGGTGGATGCCTGTAATCTCAGTTACTAGAGAGGCTGAGGCAGGAGAATTGCTTGAGCCTAGGAGGCGGAGATTGCAGTGAGCCAAGATCACACCACTGCACTCCAGCACAGGTGACAGAGTGAGACTCTGTCTCAAAAATAAAACAACAAAAATAACTAAATAAAAATAAAAATAACAACAACAACTTTTCAAAACAAAGTATAATAAGATATCAACAAAAACAACACAAAGTTAAAAAGCAGAGGGGATGAAATTAAATTATAGAGTTTTATTCATTTTTTTCTTTATTTTTGCAAACAGTGTTCAGCTGTCATCATTTTAAAATAATGGGTTACGTTATTTGCAAGCCTCATGGTAACTTCAAATCAAAAACCCTACAACAGATAACAAACACACACCCAAAGGAAATTAAAACAAACCATCAGAGAAAATCATCTTCATAAAAAGGAAGAGAAGAAGGCAAGAAGGAAGAGCAGACCACAAAACCAAACAGCAGGAGTGCATCCTTACTTATCAGTAATACTGAATATCAGTAGACTAAACCCTCCATTCGGAAGACAGAGTGGCTGAATGGGTCAAAAACAGGACCCAGCTATCTGCTGCCTACAAGAAACACATGTCACCAAAAGGCACACACAGACTGCAAATGAAGGTATGCAAAAAGATATTCCAATGCAAATGGAAACTAAAAAAGAGCAGAAGCAACTATACTTAGACAAGACAGATTCTGAAGAATGAAAGCCATTTAAAGAGACAAAGGTCATTACATAATGATAAAGGGGTCAATTCAGCAAGAGGATAAAACAACTTTAAATATATATGCACCCAATATTGGAATATCCAGATATGTAAACCAAATATAATTAGAACTAAAGAGAGAGACAGACTCCAACACAGTAATAGCTGGAGACTTCAATACCCCACTTCCAGTATTAGACAAATCATCCAGAGAGAAAATCAACAAACATCGGACTTAATCTGCACTAGAGACCAAATGGACCTAGTAGATATTTAGAGAATGCTGCATCCAACAGCCATGGAATACACATTCTTCTCCTCAGCACACGGCTCATTGTCAAGGATAGACTATATGTTAGACCATAAAACAAGCCTTTTTTTTTTTTTTAATCAGTTTTATTTAAGAATTTCCAACATTGACAACTCTTATAAAAAGCATCCAAGCACAAGACACAGAAATGCAGCAAACAGCATTCTTATGGGTAGCTAACAGACGTTAGAACTTCCACCCTTCTTTGAGACACCTGAGCTCGCTAGTGAACTCTGCTTCCAAGTACTCCTGCAAAGCACACCACAAGCTCAGTCCATGTTCTCAACCCATCAGCTTCAGTTCACATGACCACACTTACATATCAGTAACAGAAGAGAACACACGCCATACAGCATTCACAGCAGTTGGCAAAGGGTAGGGAGAGTACGAGTATCGTTTCACTCAACACATTCAACTAATGTGGGTTATCTAAGAACAAAAACTCACTTAAAGTCTTCCAACAGATGTGGATGTCCTTTGAATGCAAAAAAAACATTCGTAAGTTATTTGCTATCATTGCTCTCTGCACACTCTCTCACCAAAGCCACAGAATTGAGAGACACATCTCGCCAAGTTAAAAAATATCCATTATGCACCACCAAGTCTCTGCATGCGCTCTCTCCTTTTCTCGCTCATACTAGCCTTTCATACCTCGACACCACCACCAATCCCACACAAGGTTTCAAAAGTTCAAACAGCTTTCTGGTGCCATATCACAGCCTTGCGTTCATAGCGTTGATACGACTCCATGAAATAAAGAGTAGCGGATAAAAATGGGACACCCACTGTCAAAGACGTGGCCTGTGATGCATGATGACGAATTCTTGAACGAGAAAGCACGTAGACAGACGTATTCCTATGGCAGAGTATTTACAGCACTACTTTCAATGAAGCGCTTCTTCCACAAACATTTGAAATGAGATGAACTGCAGAGATTAAATGAAGGCTTCACATTGTACTTTTGCATATGAGGGGAGACAAGTGTTAAAAAACAAAACAAAAGAACCAAACACCGTGACACCATGATCTCCCAAAAGGAGATTTTCTTAAGGAAGAAAATCCATGTGTGGGATTCAAGTTAAAACAAGGAGTAAAGAATGTAGTTCTAAACAATGGTTTCCATTTTGAACATGCGAAGAATTCACGTGACAAGTTCAGGTATAAAATATTACACGAGAGCCGGGCACGGTGGCTCAAGCCTGTAATCCCAGCACTGTGGGAGGCCGAGGCGGGTGGATCACGAGGTCAAGAGATCGAGACCATCCTGGTCAACATGGTGAAACCCCGTCTCTACTAAAAATTCAAAAAATTAGCTGGGCATGGTGGCGCGTGCCTGTAATCCCAGCGACTCAGGAGGCTGGGGCAGGAGAATTGCCTGAACCCAGGAGGCGGAGGTTGCGGTGAGCCGAGATCGCGCCATTGCACTCCAGCCTGGGTAACAAGAGCGAAACTCCGTCTCAAAAAAAAAAAAAAAAAAAAAAAAAAAAATTACACGAGAAACCTTTTGATACCAATTGTAGTATGTTGGTTTACCAATCAGGCAAACAGCAGTTCACTTTCAACCACTCAATATTTCAACCTTTCATGTAACAAAACTTAGAAAGTTCCTTTAGCTCTTCCTTTTTCTAAAGAAAAATGTCAAAAATACTGCTGAATATACTCCACACTGAACAAACCAATTTTGAAAATTCTTAGTATATACGTATTTTACAATATACTTACCATGAGTTTAGAAAAATCTGAATTCCCACCATTCTATACCAACCAACCAGTCTACATTCCCCAGCCAGAAGACTTAGAATCCATGCCCGAGCCAAAGCCTCCATTAAAACCACTGCCTGACCCAGCATTTGATGCTGATCCCCAACCAATTGCTGCACCAGAATTAGAATCACTATAAGAGTTATTTCCAGAACGGAAGGCCTGGTTTGGCTCCCTCTGCATGTTGCCTTGGCTTTGGTTATTACCTGATGGGCCTGACTGGTTCTGCTGGCTGGCTAACATGCCCATCATACCCCAACTGTTCTGTAGCGCTGCCTGGGCTGCAGCCATCATGGCTGGATTAATGCTGAATGCGCCAAAGTTCATCCCGCCACCCATATTACTACCTTGATTGTTTCCCAAACCAGCTCCACCCACTCTGCTATTACCAAATCCACCCCGATTCCCAAAGCCACCTGGATTACCACCAAATCTTCCACTTATTTCTGTCTATTGCTATTGTGCTTAGGTTCAGCATTGGTTATATGAACGCTGATTCCTTTAATGATCAAGTCCTCTCCACAAAGAGATTGCACAATCTGATCATCTGCAAATGTAACAAAGGCAAGGGCCTTCAACGGCTTGGGGATGAAGACATCCATCGCCTCCCCGTACTTGGAGAAGAACTGCCGCAGCTCATCCTCTGTCATGTCCTCTGTACAGTGCCCCACAAACACTTTTCTGCTTCTCAAAAGCTCATCTGCGCTTTGCTTAGAGTTAGGAAGTTTACAGTCACACCACCGTCCGTCTATCATATACCGCTGTGACATTACTTTCACGTGTGTTTCATATTCCGTAAAACGAACAAAACCAAACCCCTTTGAATGACCAGTCTTAAGATCTTTCTTGACCTGCACCATAAGAACTTCTCCAAAGGTACTAAAATAGTCTTTCAGGTCCTGTTCAGTTGTTTTCCATGGGACACCCAACACTATTAAATCAGATGTTTTCTGGACTGTTCTTTTCACTTTCACTGCTGATGACGCATCTGTCTCATCCATTTTTCTTTTGTTATCTTTGGGATAGTTGACAACACACACCAGATTTCCCCAGCCAGCATTGGGGACATGCAGAATTCCTTCCACTGGCCAGACACCTCTCATACATTGAGACACTGAATTCCTGTAGTGAAGCCCACAAACCCCTGGAAACTGGGCTGTAACCGCAGACAGCAGCATAGTCCCATCATCTTCCGATGGTATTTCAATGGGCTCATCATTCTCATCTTCAGTTACCCAAATATATTCAGACGTCTTTTACTTTTCTGCTAGGTCGCTGCTGGGAAGCGTGATAGGGACAGCGAGGCTGCGATGGACCCAAGCGCAGCTCAGCAACTGTTTCACTCCCACAAAATCAAAACAAGTCTTAAAACATTAAATTAGAAGTTAATAACAAGAACTTTGGGAACTATACAAATACACAGAAATTAGATGATATGCTCCCAAATGACCAGTGGGTTAATAAAGAAATTAAGAAGGAAATTTAAAAAGTTCTTAAATGAAAACGGAAACACAATATGCCAAAACAGCAAAAACACCTGCATCCAAAAAGTAGGCAAATGCAAACAGCAACCTAACAATGCATCATAAAGAACTAGGAAAGCAAGAGTAAACCAAACCCAAAATTAGAAGAAAAGAAGATAAAAGCAGAAATAAATGAAATAAAAAAATACAAAAGACCAGCAAAACGAAAAGTTGGTTTTTTGAACAGATAAGCAAAATCAACAAATCTTTAACCAGACCAAGACAATGAGAAGACCCAAGTAAATAAAATCAGAGATCAAAAAGGGCACATTACAAAATTGATATCGCAGAAATTCAAAGGATCATTAGAGACTAACATGAGCAACTACACCATGAGCAACTACATCATGAGCAACTTCAACACAAGCAACTTCACCACAAGAACCACACCGTGAGCAACCTCACCGTGAGCATTCACACTGCTAGCATCTACACTGTAAGCAACTACACCATAACCACACTGTGAGCGACAACACCATGAGACACTATACCATGAGCAACGACACCGTGAGCAACCTCACTGTGAGCATCCACACCAGAGCAACCACACCGTGAGCATCTACATTGTAAGCAACTATACTGTGAGTAACCACACTGTGAGCAATGACACCATGAGACACTACACCATGAGCAACCACACCATGAGCAACTACATCATGGGCAATGACACTATGAGCATCTACACCGTGAGCAATCATACCATGAGCAATGACACCGCAAGCAACAACACTGTGAGCATCTACACCATGAGCAACTACACTGTGAGGAACCACACCACTACCATCTACACCACAAGCAACCCCCCCCGCAAGCAACTACACCATGAGCAACAACACTGCAAGCATCTACACCATAACTACACTGTGAACAACCCCATGGGAATGACACTGCAAGCAACGATGTCATGAGACACTATTCTGTGGGCAACCACACTGTGAACTACACTGTGAGCAACCACATCATGAGCAACACTGTGAGCATCCATACCACAAGCAACTTTGCTGTGAGCAACCATATCGTGAGCAACCACACCTCAATGACACCATGAGCATCTACACTGTGAGCAACCACACCTGAGCATCTATACTGTGAGCAACCACACTACAAGCAACTATACTGTGAGCAACTACACCATAAGAAACCACACTGTGAGCAACCACACCACGAGCGAACTATACTGTGAGCAACTACACTGTGAGCAACCACACTGTAAGCAATGACACTGTGAGCATCTACACCATGAGCAATGACACTGTGAGCAACTACACCGTGAGCAACTACACCACGAGCAACCGCACTGTGAGCATCTACAGCATGAGCAATGACAACGCGAGCATCTACACCATGAGCAACCACACACACGAGCAACCACACTGCAAGCAACACTGTAACACTGTGCGTAACAACACCGCGAGCACCTACACTATGAGCAACTTCACCATGAGCAACAACACTGTGAGGAACGCTGAGAGCAACGACACCATGAGAAACAGTGAGCAACTTCACCATGAGCAATGACACTGTGAGCAACAACGTAAGCAACTACACCATGAGCAACTACACTGTGAGCAACCACACCATGAGCAACCACATCACAAGTAATGACACTGTGAACAACAATACCACAAGCATCTACACTGTGAATAAACTATGCTATGAACAACTACACTGTGAGCAACTATACTATAAGCAACTATATCATGATCAACATCATGGTGAGCAACTTCATCGTGAGCAACTACACCATTAGCAATGACACTATGAGAAACTACACTGTAAGCAACAACAGCAACTACACTGTGAGCAACTTCACTGTGAGCAATGACATGGTGAGCAACTACACTATGAGCAACTATATCATGAGCAACTACACTGTAAGCAACTACACCGTGAGCAACTACACTGTGAGCAACACCATTAGCAACTACACTATGAGCAACTACACCACGAGCAACTATTCCATGAGTAAGTATACCACGAGCAACTACACTATGAGCAATTATATGCCAATAAATTGGAAAACCTAGAAGAAATGGATAAATTCCTAGACACATACAACCTACCAAGATTAAATCATAAAGAAATCCAAAACTTGAACAGACCAGTAACAAGTAATGATATTGAAGCTGCAATAAAAAATCTCCCAGCAAAGAAAAGCCCAGGACCCAATACTTCACTGCCAAATTCTACCAAACATTTAAAGAACTAATACCACTCCTACTCAAACTATTCAAAGGAACAGAAGAAGGAATACTTCCAAACTTAATTTACAAGGCCAGTACTATCCTGATACCAGAACCAGACAATGATGCAATCAAAAAAGAAAACTACAGGACAATATCCCTGATGAACACTAATGCAAAATTTCCTCATCAAAACACTGTTTCAACAGCACATTAAAAAGATCATTTGTCATGACCAAGTGGGATTTATTCCAGGTATGCAAGGATGGCTCAATATATACAAATCCATCAATGTGATATATATCAACAGAATGAAGGCCAAGAACTATATGATTATTTCAATTGATGCCCCAAAAGCATTTGATAAAATTCAACATCCCTTCATGATAAAAATCCTCAAAAAACTGGCTATAGAAGGAGCATACCTCAGCACAACAAAAGCCACATGCAAGAGACCCACAGCTAGTATCACACTGAATCAGGAAAAACTGAAAATCTTTCTTCTAAATGTGGAGCAAGACAAGGATGCTTGCTTTCACCACTCTTAGTCAACATGGTACTAGAAGCTCTAGCTAGAGCAATTGGAGAAGAGAAATAAAAGGAATCCAAACGGAAAAGGAAGAAGTCAAATGATCCTTGTTTGTAGATGATATAATCTTAGATTTGGAAAAACCTAAAGACTCCACAAAAAAACTATTAGAACAGATAAACCAATTCAGTAAAGCTGCAGGATACAAAATCACCAAACAAAAATCAGTAGCATTTCTATATGCCAACAGTGAACAATCCGAAAAAGAAGTCAAGAAAGGAATTCCATTTACAATAGCTACAAACAAAATAAGATACCTACGAATTAACGAAAGTGAAAGACCTCTACAATGAAAACTATGAAACACTGATGTGAGAAAATTGGAGAGGACACATACACAAAATGGTATACTCCATGTTCATGGACTAGAAGAATCAGTATTGTTAAAATGTCCATACTACCCAAAGTATCTACAGATTCAATGCAATCCCTATCAAAATACCAATGACATTCTTCACAGAAATAGAAAGAATAATCCTAAAATTTATACGGACCCTCAAAAGACCCTGAATAGCCAAAGGCATCCTGAGCAAAAGCCAAAACAAGACAAAAACAAAAAACTGGAGGAATCACATTACCCGACTTCAATTCATACTACAGAGCTACAGCAACCAAATCAGCACAGCACTGGCACAAAAACAGACACATAGACCAATGAAACAGAACAGAGAACCCGGAAATTAAATCCATACATCTACAGTGAACTCGTTTTTGACAAAGGTGCTAAGGACAAACATTGAGGAAAGGACAGTCTCTTCAATAAATGGTGCTGGGAAAACTGGATATCCACATACAGAAGAGTGAAACTGGACCCCTATCTCTCACTTTATATAAAGATCAAATCAAAATGGATTAAAGACCTAAATCTAAGACCTCAAACTATGAAACCACTACAAGAACACATTGGGGAAACTCTCTAGGATGTGGTCTGGACAAAGGTTTCCTGAGTAAAATCCCCAAAGCACAGGAAACCAAAGGAGGGATGGGCAAATGGGATAACATCAAGTTAAAAAGCTTCTGCATAGCAAAGAAAACCACCAACACAGTGAGGAGACGACCACAGGATGGGAGAACACATCTGCACAAATACCCACGTGACAAGGGACTAACAAACAGATCCAAAGGAGCTCAAAGTCACTAGGAAAAAAATCTAATAATCCAATTTAAAAATGGGCAGATCTGAACAGACATTTCTCAAAAGAAGGCAAACAAATGGCAAACAGGTACTTGGTAGGAACTTGACAAATACTCATCTCTGAAAAGCCATCCAGGCAGCCCCAGCCTCTCCTGTAACGTTTGTTGTTCCTGGAAGGTCCCTCTTGACAAGAACAGATCTGGTGGTCTCGCCAGTGGCACACACTGAGCAGGAAAATTGCAGCAGGGCCGAGCAGCTGCTGACTGCAGGCCTGGCGACAATCAGGGCACCCCTGCAGGGCGAAGGCCAGGTGCCACCCACCTGAGAGTGGCACAGGGCCATTTGTTCAGGGCCTGCCTCACAACTGCACGGCCACATGTCCGTCCTGCCTGCCTCATGGGGGTTCTGGATGCGGTCAGTGACATGAGCTAGGAGATGCAGTCATGTGGGTGTGAGGAGACGCATTAGCCCCTGCCGCACCGGGATACCCCGTTTCCACAACCTCAGACACCGGCCTGGGGCCTAAGGCTCCAGGGCGGCTTGACTGCCTATGGGTGACCTTGCTCTGATGCTCAGCTGGCTGTGCTACCTGAGCGAGCTCTGAGCCCTCTGAGCCTTTAAGGAGGAGATTAAAGTTATTTCTGGGCCCTCCCAATGAAGTTTAGTGATCTAAGCCGAGTCTAGCAGGCTGCTGGAAAATTTCCTACAAGTCAGAAGACAGTCAGGACCTTCTGTGCAGACGGTATGGGGTCCGAGAGCACCAATCTCTGGGTTGTTGAGGGGGCAGAGGTGTCTGCAAGGAGCCCAAAGTGGGCTCCAGGACAGGGTCACAGGGCTGATCAGGGTAACAGGGCAGCACCGTGACGCCACATGAAACTCACGTGAAGGGCAGTACAGGGTCTCTAACAGAATGCAAACCCCACTGGGAAGAAATGGGCCACACTGGAAGAAGAACTGTCCTGGACGACACACAAAATAACACTAACGCTAATGATAGCTGATGAGCTAAAAGAAAAACAAAAATTGCAAAAAAAAATCTCATACCATTTTAAAAACTTTATGAATTGGTGTTGGGCAGCATTCAAAGCCATCCTGGGCCGCGGGTAGGACAAGCTTGCTTTAGATCAACAGTGTGATGTCAGCTTTCTAACAGATAGCTACTGATACACAGTAGGCTGTTTATGCATAGCTACCAATAGAGTTATAGCATTTATAGACAATTATCGATACACAGGTATGGTTTTAGAGGTACAGTGCAGTTAACACTGAGTTACACTGTTAGCTATGGAGTTATAGTATTTGCAGCGAGTGCTCCACAGAGTTCCAGTATTTATAGACAGCTATGGATACAGTTACAGTATTTTTAGACAGTTACGGGAGGGTTACACCAATAGCTATGAGCTACTGAGCTTCAGTATTCACACAGAGCTCTCCACACAGAGTCATCAAACTGTTTTGAGGAATAAGACTTGGCCCATGACAGACACCACTTTTCCTGTGGGCCATGCTCTGCCTCAGGCTTAAGGAAGGTGGCAGAGAAAGCAGCCGGTTGCCTGCACTTCTTCCTGGGCTCTGTTCCTGCCCTGGCTCCCTGAACTGCGCTCCGCAGCCCAGGCATTTGGTCAGCCCCAGAAGCGCCTGCTGCAAGTGCCGGGCAGCATGGACACCAACCCCACACTCTGCCCGCTTCCTCCCCGCTGGGCAGAGCCTGATTTGCTCAGAGGCCCTCTGTGCTGCCTGGAGCTGACCCCATGCCAGCTCCAGGAGGGGCCAGCAAGGGTACATGGTGATTCAACTTCCACTGGCCTGACGAGACCAAGGGGGTGAACGAAGGCTCCTGGTGGAAAAGGGTCCCCCATGTCTCTGTGTGCAGCCTCAAGGCAGCCACGCTGCCCCGAGGGAGAGAGCCAGAGAATGAAGCCTGGGCATGGAGGCAGAGCAGGGGCGTCCTGAGCAGGTGCTGTGTCACGCCTGGAGACGGTCCTACGCGTGGACCCCAGAAGCACACAGCAGCACAGATGAGGGAGTAAGTCACGGCTTCCATGCTGGTCCCAGAATACCCCGAGAGACTCTTCAACTCATCACCTTCATGCCATTTCCCATCAGGAAACCTACCTTCTGCAAGGCTGAACCCAGAAGAAGGAACATGCACCAGTGAAGGAGTCAGACATAAAAGACCACACATCTGACTACGCTGACAGACAAACTCAGACACACAACGATCAGAGGCCACTCAGCTTCACTAACCCAAAGGGGAATTGCCCCTGTGGCCACAGTGTGTGGCATTTTAGCAAGTTACTGGGGCCTCAGATCTAAGACATACCCTACAGATGATTCTGCCAACAGTGAAGCCAATACTCAGCCCCACCTGTAGGACGCCTGCCTGCCTGCTTACCTCTTGGTAGGTTCCAAAGCCCAACAGCAATAGTTATCCCCAGCAAACCAACTGGGATCCAGGCCCCCAGTAGTGCAGAACTGAGGTAGCCCGACTCCACTCTTCTCCTCCCAGGCCAGGTCCACCAACCACAGTGGCTTTCATGAAAGTGCACCTTGATGGGTGGGCACATTCAGGAAGCCTCTGCAACTGCTGAAGTGCGCACCGTGTCTAAGGGACAATAAGGACACCAGCCATCCTTTCTCACATCTCTTGGCATTAATAACAACAAACATTAAACCAGTTCAGATCTCTCCTAGTTTTTCGAAGATGTGAATAGGAACATCCTGTGACTAGGAATAATGAAAGGACATTTGGTGCATGCAGCATTCTGAAAAAAGAACAAGTGAATCAGTTAAAAATAGCACGTCAGCCCGCCTGCGGTACAGCGAGGAACAGACTGTCCAAGAAAAACACCCGTTACCTGCGGGACGTCGTCAAACAGCCGTTGAGCAAAATGGGAAAGCACGTCGTCCACGGACTTCCCGTTGCCAAACTGGATCACCGTGCCCGTGGCTTCGACGGCGGCCACACGGACCTTCCAGTGCTGGTGGGAGATGGTCTGCATCAGGGGTCCGATGAGAGACTCTGACTGCATGTGGAAATGGTCTGCGGGACAGGGAGGCCCCAGTTACCAGAGCTGCTCCCATACACCTTGCCCAGGCCCAGCTCTGTTGGCTTCCAGAGGACGGCAGCCTGCCCGTGAGCTCCTCACCTCCCTTCCTCTCCCACTCCAGGTCCTTGCTACGGGAACAGCACACAACCCAGGCTGCCAAGCAGAGCTCTGCACCGCCCAGCATAGGAAGAAGCTGAGACAAGGGTCCCACCCTGATGACACCTATGCAACCCAGAGACTTAGGGGGACCAGCAAGGAAAGGCTGGGGGCGCAACCCCACTGTGGCTGAAGACAGGAGAGCCTGGACCTGCTGAAGCCATGGTGGCGGTCCGAGGGGGACAGTGGCCGGAGGAAAGAAGTTGAGCCCAGAGGACATGGGTGAGGCCCCACTCCCAGCCGCACCTGAGTCCAGACCCCAGGCTCCTCTGGGAGGCTGGGCCAACACCGCTCCAGGCAAGGCCACTGCACTTCCTATTTGCTACGTCCCTGAAGAAAGTCAGAACCAGAGGTGGCAGGAGCCTGTAAGCCCAGCTACTTGGGAGGCTGAGGCAGGAGAATAGCTTGAACCCAGATGGCAGAGGTTGCAGGGAGCCGAGATCGCGCCACTGCACTCCATCCTGGGAGACAGAGTGAAACTCTGTCTCAAAAAAATCAAGTCAGAACCAGAGGGTCTCTGGGATCCAGGCCACCTCTTGCCTCAGCTCTGCATTACCGGGGCCTGTCTGGGAAATGGCTATTCTAATGAGACTTTGGGTGAGCTCTTCAACCTCTCTGCCGCTGCTCAGTGTGACCAGGGCCAGAGGTGAGACACCCCCTCCCAGGGAAAAGGAGGACCACAGGTGCTGGAGATGAGGGGATGCTTCAGGCAGAGGCACAGTCCCTCACCCCACAGCAACCAGTGAGCACATACCCCGGCAGGCTGTGCTCGGGGCTGGGGCACAGGTGGGCACGGTGCTGCCCTATGGAACCTACGATCCAGTGAGGGAACATGGCAAGGCCAGGAGGAGCTCCCTGAAGGAAGCAGAAGCGGCCTATGTGGCTGATGCACAGGCCCGGTAGGGAAGAGATTGAGGGTTAAAGAGAAATACATGAAATGCCGGGAATTCTCAATGGCCATGTCTAGCCCATGGCTCTTCCCACAGCTCCAGAGGAGTCCTGGACCATGTGAAATCCAAAGTTACCTAACATGGAAATCTCGGCATTTCCCCAAGTCCAATTCTTCCTGTCCATCCCAAAGCCCCTGCCTTCTCACCTAGTTCCTTAGGAAGTCATGTCAGTTTCACATTCAGCCACTTTCTTCCATCAGCAGAAGTCCTCCCTAGTCCAAGCCATCTCTTCAACTTCGGATTAACCATGGTCTCCTCACCCCCTTTCCTGCCACTTCTGGAACCTATTCTCCATGCATGCAGTGATGTTTTAAGAAACTGAACCCGGGTCTGCCACTCCCATCCACAACCCCTACACTTCCCGCTACAGTCAAACTATCACTGGGACATCACTGGGGCGGCCTGCGCTGGCCAAGTCCCTCACTGCTTTCCTGCCCTAGGCCTACCACCCAAGGATTTACAGTCTCAATGTTCCCTTCTCCAGAAAGCCTTCCCGCCAGCAGGAAGCAGGCACCTGCTATCATTCCACATCCCAGCCAGGGGAGGGAATGGGCAAGACCCTGCAGGAATGGTGAGTTCAGGAAAGGGAACATCCGAATCAGATCAGAGCTCTAAAAATGACGCGGAACGTCATCAAGTGGAGTGGAGAGGGGGCCTCCTTCCAGAGAGGGGAGGAGTAGGACAGAAAGAGTGGAGTCTCCAGGCGTTGGTCTGCCCCTCGGGAAGCCTGCCCTGCAGCCCCCTTCAGCGAGTCCCCTTAACCAGGCGCAAGTCCTGCAGGTCCCCCAGGGGAAGGAAAGGGGACAGCGACCAGGGCGCACCCCCACTTCAACCCGCTTAACAAGAATTTCTGCAGTGGTTTGCAGGGATTTGGACAGGAGCGCTGGCTGGTGGGCTTGGGTGGGGGGGCTCAGGCAGGTAGAAGGGTGGGAGGTGAGGATTGAGGGAGGGCGGGGTGCGAGGAAACAAGTGGTGTAGGACGGGCAGGTGGAGGGGGCACAGGGAGCAGACAGGTGGGGGGCGGGGCTTGGGGCATGGAGGGTGGAGGCGGGGATCAGGGGGACATGGAGGTCAGAAGAGTGGGGGCCAGGAGGGAACAGGTTTACGGGCGGCGGGGGAGAAGGGGGAGGGAAGAAGCAGGTGGCAGTGCAGGGAACAGGTATGCGGCGGTGGAGGGCAAGGGAGCGGGTGAAGAGCGAGTTGGTAGGTGGTCGTGACGCAGGGGACTCGGGTGGTGAGAGGAGAGACCGTGCCGGGGGGGGGTTTGGAGCAGAAGGGTGGGGGGCGCGGGACATGGGGGTACCGGGATGTTGGGGGTGCGCGGGAGTGGCGGGGGGCGGGGCCAAGCCCTAGTGGTTGTGAGAGGGGCCGCGGAGGTGGAGGTGGGGGTGAGGGTGTGGGGTGGGGGACGCGAGAGGGGCCCGGGGCGCTCACCGGGCGTGGCCTGTGCCAGGGCGGCAGCGCAGCTGCAGCTCTCGCGGCGCACAGCGGCGAAGGGGTCGAGAAGGGAGCAGCGCAGCACGCGAAGGGCGTCGTCCAGGTGGGGCGCTAGCGCGGCGCCGCCCAGGTCCACAGCCAGGCTCAGCAGCTGCACTAGCGCCAGGCGCAGCTCCTCGCAGGCCTCGGGCGGGCGGCGCGTGGGCTCCAGGCCGGCCAAGCGCGCGGCGAGCGCAGGCAGCAGGCGCGGCAGGGCGTCGTGGGGCCGCGCGGCGCGGCGTAGGCCCAGACCCAGCAGGTGCACTGCCAGCGCGCGGCAGCCTTCGGCGGGGTCGCTCAGGCAGCGCAGTAGGCGCGGCAGCAGCAGGCGCGCCCAGGGGCCCTGGAAGGCGGCAGGGTCGGTGACGGGGCCCGGCTCCTCCAGCGCGCGCTGCAGGGCCTCCAGGGCTCGCCGCCGGCCCGGCTTGCTGTCGGCCTCCAGCCCCGGCAGCAGGCGGCTCAGGGCTCGGCTCAGCTCCGCCGCCTCCGCAGTCTCAGCCCCCTCGGCCGGGTGTGGGGCCGCTATGGCCTCCGCCACCCCCGGCGCCGCCATTTTGCCCGCGTCGCCCGTCACTAAGGGGAACGGCGGCGCTTTTGCGGCGCGCGGCGCGGATTACGGCAGCACTTCCGGCCTGCCCTGGGGGCGGGGCGCCGGTTTTTTTTCCTCCCGGCTGGTGCGCGCATGGCCTTGGGCCCTTGTCCAGCAGCTCTCTCCCACTGCCATGGACTGTCACCAGAGTCCTCGTCCGCCGCCCTGCTGGGCCTTGCTTATCCCCATTACACTGATGGAGACGGTCTGGGAAGGATGCAGCTCGCCCGGGATGAGGGCGCCGGGCTCCAGGCCTGGGCCTGTTCCTAGGGAAGCGCGCCCTGCGGCCTGGAAAGGTTGGGTGTCCCGCCTGGGTCTATGGTAGCCGGGGATTTCCTCCCTGAGCCGCCTAGAGCCCCTCTGGCGTTGGGAAGGGCCGTTACAGGAGGGAATGGCGCTGCTTTTGCGGACTGGATCCCACCTGTGGTGTAAGACAGGGTGCCTGGACTGGGCTTTACATGCAGCCTGTGACTGGATCCCAGGTGTAGTAGCCCAGTAGGTTTGCCTTGCTGCCGAGGTAGAGCCAATTTGTCAAGACTGGGGAATTGCAAGAGAGAAAGAGTTTAATGCATGCAGAAACTGTCTAAATACGACACTGGATTTTTGTTACTCAAAGCAGCTTCTGAAAATTCTGAGATGGGTCATTTAAGGATAATTAGGCAGGTAGGGGGCCAGGGAGAGGGTAGTGCTGATTTGTCGGGTTGGAGATGAAACCACAGAGCGTCAAAGTTGATTCTCTACTGGCTTTTGTTCCTGGGTGGGATCACAGAACTTGTTGAGCCAGATTACTGGTGTGGGTGGTGGCAGCTGGTGCATCAGAATGCAGAGTCTGAAAGTTACCTAGAGCACAAATCTTAGAGTTAACAATATTGATGTTATCCTAAAGAGCAACTGGGGAGGTTTGGAATCTTGTGGCCTCTAGCCACATTTCTAATCTTGTGGCTCATGTGTTAGTCTTACAAAGGCATTCTGGTCCCCAGGCAAGAAGGAGGTTGGCTTCAGGAAAGGGCTGTTATCATCTTTGTTTCAAAGTTAAACTATAAACTAAGTCCCTCCTAAAGTTAGCTTGGCGTCCTCCCAAGAAATAACAATGCAGCTTGGAAATTAGAAGCAAGACTGTTTCACAGTAGTGACCTTGAATAAGAGACGCCTAAACAGCATGGTGGCGGAGTTTGTGTGAGCCCAGCCTGGAACACAAATTTGACAGCACTCACTGCAAACCAGGAGTCCCCAAGTCTGGCACCTCTCATCTGTGACCATGCACCAAGTTTTCTAAAAGCATAATGTGTGTAATTGTAGGACTAAACTTCGAGTTTGACTTTTTTTTTTTTTTTTGAGATGGAGTTTCTCTCCTGTTGCCCAGGCTGGAGTGCAATGGTGTGATCTCAGCTCACCGCAACCTCCACCTCTCAGGTTCAAGTGATTCTCCTGCCTCAGCCTCCCAAGTAGCTGGGATTACAGGCATGCACCGCCATGCCCAGCTAATTTTGTATTTTTATTAGAGACGGGGTTTCTCCATGTTGGCCAGGCTGGTCTTGAACTCCTGACCTCAGGTGATCTGCCTGCCTCGGCCTCTCAAAGTGCTGGGATTGTAGGTGTGAGCCACTGTGCCCAGCCCTGACCTTCTTTTTTGTTGTTGATGTTTGTGTTGTGAAATGGTGGCATTCATCAGTATTTCTTAAATGTCATTATGTAGCATTCAGTAACCTTTATTCATTGTTTCCTTCAACAGGCATTTGTTTGACCAGGCACTATCTGCAACACATGGGACATGATGACAATGATGTAGAAACAGGCCACAGTTCCTGCTCTCCCAGATCTTAGGGTCTTGCAGGATGAGATACCCATTAATGGAGAGATAAATTAATATCTCTCCATTGTGTTCAACTTGTGGTGGTCCTCAGAGAATGAATGTCAAGGGATGTTGAACTAGACTTGTGAGGCTTCCCTGAACAAATGATAGCAGAGGTAAGATATGAAGAGTAAGTAAACATTGTATTAGTCTGCTCTCATGCTGCTAATAAAGACATACCCAAGACTGGGTAATTTATACAGGAAAAGGTCCATGTGGACTCTCAGTTCCACATAGCTGGGAAGGCCTCACAATCATGGTGGAAGGCAAGAAGGAGCAAATCACGTCTTACATGGATGCACCTGGCAAAGAGAGAGTGAGAGCTTGTGCAGGGAAACTCCCCCTTATAAAATGATCAGATCATGTGAGACTTATTCACTATCGTGAGAACAGCACAGGAAAGAGTCACCCCCATTATTCAGTTACCTCCCATTGGGTCCTTTCCACAGCATGTGGGAATTGTGGGAGCTACAGTTCAAGATGAGATTTGGGTGGGGACACAATCCATACTTCAGGATGTGACCCTATTTGGAGATAAGGTCTTTGTAGATGTGATCAAGGTAAGATGAAGTCATTAGGTTGGGTGCTAATCCAATATGACTGCTGTCCTTGTAAAGGGACATTTTGGAGATAGACTTGCATACAGGGGGAATGAAGTATGACCATGAAGAGGGGCCTCGGGGAGCCAGCCCTGCTGACACCTTGATGTTGAGAAATCAGTGTCTCTCATTCAGCTACCCAGCCTGGGGTGCTTTGTTATGGCAGCCCCAGGTAGCAAACAGGGAGGGAGGCTGACACTCTCACGGGAGCAGGCAGGGAGTGAGCAGGTGGTTGGGGCCAGGCCATGGGGGCCTTTGTCCTAAAACATGAGGGACTGAGGATTTCAAGGTGGGAGCATTGGCAAGATCAGGCCTGTAGTTTTGAAGGACCCCTTTGGCTTCTGTGGAACAGATTGGTTGGGAGCCCTTGGAAGGCTGTGGGAGTGCTGAAGAGAAGAAATTATAAGTGCTTAAATTATGATGGTGGGACTTCACTTTTCCTTGTTCCTCCTGTTGAAATACAACAAAATACCCTGCACATAATTCAGCAGGCAACAAGGAAAGGACCTTGAGAGTTGTCAGTAAGACAGACTGGCTAGAGACCTCTGGACTGGAGGAAGAGCTAATGTGGTGGGTGCCCCAGGTTTTCTTTGTCTCATGTGTTCCTACACTAGTCCCCAGGGAAGCCTGCTGCCCATAACCACCAACAGTTGCAGACAAAAATTTTCCAGGGAAAGCCTTCTCTCTCTGGCCAAGCCCTGGGAAGGGGACGCCCCACAGAGACCTGGAGGGTAGCTACCTCCTCCATGCCACAATCTGCTCTCAGGGACAGTTTCTAGAGGGTAGCTACCACCTCCATGCCATAATCTACCCTCAGGGACAGATTCTAGAATGTAACTACCACTACCACCTTCTCCACACCACAGTCTGCTCTCAGGGACAGTTTCTAGAGGGTAGCTACCTCCAACATGCTGCAATCTGCTCTCAGGGATGGTTTCCAGAGGGTAGCTACCACCTCCTCCGTGCTACAGTCTACTTTCTGGGATGGTTTCCAGAGGGTAGCTACCGCCTCCACACCACAATCTGCTCTCAGGGACAGTTTCTAGAGGGTAGCTACCTCTACCATGCTACAATCTGCTCTCAGAGACAGTTTCTTGAGGGTAGCTACCACCTCCATGCCACACTCTACTCTCAGGAACAGTGTCTAGGGGGTAGCTACCACCTCCATGCCACAATCTGCTCTCAGGGATGATTTTAAAGCTGCTGCTGGCCCAGTAACCTGTGCCTAGGACCTGGGTTTCCAGTGGAGTCTGTACCACACCAGTAGTGTCAGAGGAGTATGAAATGTAGCCTTCCTCCTCGTAGAACAGAGAGACCCAGAATGAGCATGTTCTTCCTCCTCTGCAGCAAAAGGTGGCCCAGTGATGCCAGGCGGCCCAGGGAGGTACCTTTCACCCCTACAGGTGGCACCAATGGGAAATGAGCAGCAGCCCCAGGAGAACCAGAAGAATAAAGCAGACCAGGAGGGCAGTGCCAGGGCTCCGAAGACAAAACTGTTGAAATGACAGGCCACAAAAATAGGCTGAAATCTACACCCTGAACCTGAACAGAGCAACTGCCTGCTAAAATAGATTAAAGTAGGATCAGGAGTCTCCAGACATCGTAACCCAAATGTCCAGGATACATCTGGAAATCACTTGTCATACAAAGAACCAGGAAAGCCACAACCTGAAGATAGTAAGGTAACTGATGTGAATTCCAAGGTGAGTCACATGTTGGAATCATCTGCCAAGAATTTTAAAGCAGTCATAAGAACCAAGCTGGGTGCAGTGGCTCACGCCTATAATCCCAGCCCTTTGGGAGGTTGAGGCAGGCAGATTACCTGAGGTCAGGATTTCAAAACCAGCCTGGGAAACATGGCAAACCCCTTTACTAAAAATACAAAAATTAGCCAAGTGTGGTGGTGGGTGCCTGTAATCATAGCTACTCAGGGAGGCTGAAGTACGAAAATTGCTTGAACTTGGGAGGTAGAAGTTATAGTGAGCCAAGATTGTGCCACTGCACTCCAGCCTGGGTGACAGAGCAAGACTCTGTCTCAAAAAAAAAGTAACTACAGTTTTTTAAACAAGTTAAAAAAAAAAAAAAGAAAATTTCAGCAAAGAAATAGAAGTTATAAAAAAAAACCAAGTGGAAATCATAGATCTGAAGAAATAGAATAAAATAATGTTATATCTTCTGCTGGACAGACATAGTGATGGAATGGAGTTAACAGGATCATCGGGGAACTTGAAGATAGAGCAGTAGAATTTTCTTGATCTGACCAACAGAGAGAAAGTAGATTGAGAAAAAAATGAGCAGAGTCTCAGAGATCTGTGGCACAATAATTTGATTCATCAGTGTCCCAGAACAAGAAGAGGAAAAGTGCAGGGCTAACATTGCTGAAGAAATAATGGCTGAAAACTCCTCAATTTCAGTGAAAAACATAAACCCACATATTCCAGAAGCTGAACAAGCCTTTGTAGGATAAGCCCTCCAAAAACCCATACTAAGACATATCACAATTAAACTTCTGAAAACTAAAGACAGAGGG